GCTTTTGTTGTTACCAGCATCTCCAATTTCTGTTTCAGGTTAACCCGCAATAAGCAGAATATCCTCCTGCAATTGAAATTTTGTTTTCCTCCCCATGATTGAATGCTTCAGGTACATTGAGTTTATACGTTGAATTCTGACCATCTTCAACCATTTCAGACTTGAATCCCTCTTTTTTTTTCTGGGGATATGCATTCACACCTATTTAGCCAAGCTTGGAACAGGTTCAAATGAGATTTTTCAGTAATCTGATTCTAGCGTAGGACAGCTAATTTACATATCCATTTACAATTGCATGTCAAATCTGGAATGAACTTGAGGTAGAAGACAATGCGAAGCCAAGAAACCATATTATGTCAATGTTATGTGCAGGCTGGTAGTTTATTTAGTACCTAACAGTTCCTTTTTTAGGTCAATTGTTTTAGGGATTCCCAATAATTTACCATAAATTAATAGTCTAATGTACAAAAGATTCCAGAAAAAAATGTTGGGCTCTTAGAGCGACTTTACTTTGTTTTCAAAAGCGAAATCTAAATTTCTTTGTTTACTTTTGCATGGATATGGATGCAGAGAGTGCAACTGTTTGATAGGACATCCCAGTATCTTCTATTTGCAGCAGCTCCGTATGGACTTCACAGCTTTCAAAGTAATAGGCCGTGTTACCCCACACCATTATTTTCATTTGGGTTTCATGGTGTATTCATATTTGCTTCTGCAACATGAATGTTATAGATAGCTTATTGAATTTTGTGAAACTTTAAACAATTGTTACCCAGGACTAATTTCAAAATTCATCCATAACACAAATGTCTGGAATTATAAATGCCTTTTTGAGTCTAACAGGGAAAAAAAAAAGTATGGTCATGTGAACTCATATTTTCTTGCTAAGAGTTTTTAAAACTCTGTTTGGGTGGACCCAGACTAGTAATACATTTCATGGTTTGCCCGTGGCTAACATCTTGTAGGACAAAGAGGTCTATGCATAGGGTTTATTTTATTTTAGTTCATATTTGATTTTCATAATGTGTTACATACTGATTACTGCTCTCAATCTACTATGAGCATTGTATGTGATTATGAGCTATTCAGCTGCCATTATAACTTGCCCATTCTGCATCATTTGCATCACTGAGGGAATTAGAGTCATGTCTTTAGCTATCCTTTTGGGGCAGATGTGGTGAAATCCCAATTTTTTTGCAATATTTGAGTTTGTATGTTCTTGTGAGATTGTTATCCTTTTATGTTGACTGTATGCATGTTTGTTTTTCCCGCAATCAAAGTTTGCAGGCCTGGGTATCTTGTGACAAAGCAATATATATAATTCAGAGACAATACAGAGGACTACAAAGGTCTCTTCTCTTCCTGGTAAAATTTATGCACGATTGTAATTCAATTTTATGAAACTGTCTTGATACCATTTATGGGCAATGACAATTTGGTTGTAATTTCCATCATTCAGTGCTGGATTGAGTATCTTGAGATTGAAGACAATACCAAGCTGAGGTGCCACGTTATGTCATCTTATGAGCAGGTTAGCTATATATTTCTTACTTAATAGTTCTTTATTTAGATCAATGATTTTAGGGATTCAGTATCATTAGATTACATTTTAAAAAATGTTGAGCTCTCCTTGCGACTTTACCTTTTGGATTTCAAATGCAGAATCTAATTTCTTTTTTCTTTTTTCTTTTTTTACGTGGATGTAGAGAGTGCAACCTTTCATTAGAAGATACTAGTATCTTCTATTTGCTGTAGATCCATATATGATCATAGCCCTCAAGGTAATTAAATCTTATTAGCTCACATTCTCTCATCTATGTTTCATAAATATTCATATTACTTTCTGTACTACTTTTCAGGTCCCAGCACTGAAACCGATTCCAGAGTGTTTACTGTAAGTCTCAACTCTACTGTTTACCGTCGTTGTTTCTCCTCTCTTTTTGGTTTTGTCCTTGAGCTCTTTTTCAAACCAGACATGCTGTGTTCCTGCCAGAACCTAGAAGGCTAGATCATATTGATCATTTGATTCAACTTTGATCTGAATCAATTATTACTGTGTTGGTCTAAAAACACTGATTCTGGAAAATTTTGGTCCATTTTATCTTACAACCGTTTGGTTTTCATCAACTGGCAGCTGAAGGTGTATTTCAAAGTCAAACCAGTAGAGGCAAACAAACCTCAAACTACCGCAGCAGCTCCATGCTCCACCACCTCCACCTCATCCTCCACAAGGGTTCCAAGTACCACTAGAGTCCCCACCAAGCACAAACTCCAGTTATTAGCTCTCGACTGTCGCCTCCTATGGGAAACGGTCCTAGGCCTATGCCTCCTGTTGGCACCCCATCGCCTCCACCCCGCTTCACAATGGCAAATTTGGCTGCTAGG